TATACCGCTTGTACATCAGCATTATATTCTGCCATTATATCATTTGCCGGTTAAAGCAGATGAAATCTCTATACATTTCCAGACTCACAACAGTACGTACTGCAATGGTTTGATTATATCATTTGCCGGTTAAAGCAGATGAAATCTCTACACATTTTCAAACTCATAATAGTACCGCCATGGTTTGGGTGAGCGTGGACTTGCTACCTTGGTGAGAATTGTGTGGTTGAGAATCTGTGAGAAGGAATGAGCCTTTCTCTCTGGTTACTTGTTAAAAGGTTCAGACTTGCTCAGACTTAATTTCTCATAAAGATGCAGTTCTCTTGAGCAAATAGCTAGAAACTGTTAGAGGTTCATTTTTTTCTTTGTCTTTTTGGATAGAAATGTAAATCTGTGGAAGTCAAGGTGAGCTTACTCAATGGGCCAGGTGTGGTCTGCGAAGGGGCAGAGCTAGGGGTGGGGAGAACTTGAGCCTGCTCCCCAAAGTGGATGGTGAGGACCTGAGCGTGTGGGGAGAATGATCCTGCACCGAGGACGGAGTGAGGTGCGTGGGCCCCTGGAGCGGGGCCACTTTCAAAATGGTGTTCAGCAGTGCTGCTGCTGCTTTTTTGTTTTGTTTGGTTAATCCTCACCTGAGGATATTTTCCCCATTGATATTTAGAGAAAGAAAGGAGAAGAAGGGGGAGAGAGAGAGAGAGAGAGAGAGAGAGATCGTGTGTGCATGACGGAGAGAAATAAAGAAGTGTGGATGTGAGAGAGAGACACATGGATTGGTTGCCTCCCGCACACACTCCAATTAGGCCGGGGATTGAACCTGCAACCTGGGTACGTGCCCTTGACCAGGAACCCAAGACCCTTCCGTGTGCAGGCCGGCGCTCTAACCACTGGGAACACCGGCCAGGGCAATGTTGCTTCCTAGAGGAGAGTGAAAATCAAGCAATATTCACAAAGATGTCCCCTGCTGTCCTTCCTCCCTGATGACTTCCCGTGGCCAGGAGCAGTTGGACTTTGTGAAAGGACAGGACCAGACTGGGAAAATAGGAGTGTGCCTGGTAAGGAGAAAAGAGGTGACGGAATTTCCATTTTAATCAAAATGCTTTGCAGTTGCTGAATGTGGTCATGGCAGTGAGGGCTGTGGTCTGAAGGGTGACAGACTGTGAGCTCATACACATGTGTACTCTCCTTCAAAGCCGGCTGGAATTCTAGTTCCGTATTGGCCATTCTGCAGACTGTGCCCTGGAATCTGTCGGTCACAAGTCCCTTGAATGAACCCAAGTTCTTTTCCTTTGAATTAGGAGAAGGCTCCACTTCCTCACAGTCTTTCCTGGGTGTCCAAACAGCAATGAAAGCTACCTTTGAATTAGGAGAAGGCTCCACTTCCTCACAGTCTTCCCTGGTCCGAACAGCAATGAAAGCTATGCGCAGACCAGTGCTGGGCTCCACGGAGCCGCCAGGCCTGGGAGGCGTCCCCTTCTCTCTCCTGGACTCTGTGCTTGGCCCTGGTCCCTCTGCCGTGGGAAGGACCTTTGTTCTTACACTCCTGTGGGGTCACGTGGGCGCCTCTGGTGAGCTGTGTGGGGCACTGAGTCAGTGGGTCAGGTGCAGGCCGGTGCCCTTACCCCAAGGACTGGACAGGTAGGACACCTGTGTCTCTGAAGGCGGGCGAGGGGTTGGCACCAGAAGAGAGGCTGGTGATGAGATCTGGGAGATACTTTCACCGAAAGGTAGACCACACGTGAAGGAAGGAGGTCATGTATGAGGATGTTTTTAGTGAACAGGTTTCTGCGATTGGGTGTCGATTTTTGCTGAGGCTCTCCCATGCCGACTGCGTGGGTGTCGTGGGACGTCACCCGAGTGGACAAGTGGCTCTGCGAGAATAAACAGTGCCGGGGAGGCTAGGAACAGGATGTGGATAAGACTTCTGAATAATAAACTTTTGGCTCCAGGCGGGACCAGAACCTTAGCTGTCACCCACATCACTCTACAGGTGATGACCATCACTCTACAGGTGATGACCCTGCAGAGGTCGCCATGGCATGGGTTTGTCCAAGGTCATGAGCAGGTTCATGGCCGAGTCGGGATAAGGAGCCAGGTCCTGGGGCTGCTCACCGGGCAGCCTTCCCTGCCCCTGCCCCTGCCCCTGTGCGGTGGAGGGCTGGAGCACGACACCTCTCACACAGCCCCAGTGCAGTCGGCCAAGAAAGCCACCGCCACCAGTTGCCCACCAGATATTCTCATCTGGAAAAAAGGCAGGGAGTTACCCAGAAAGTGTTCATCTTGGTGAAGAACTTGATGTGAAAAGGAGGTGGGAGTCCAAGGGCCGGTAGAGGGTAGTGGCTGCTGAAATCGAAGACCGGTCCTCCAGAGACCTTTTGGGAAAATAAAGCCGAATGGTGCTTGTCCTCCCTCTTCCTCCTGACAGCCACGTCCTGGGAAGCGGGCACTCCTGGGAGCTAGGAAGTCACTAGTGAAGGGAAGGACGAACATAAGTAAGAGTGAAACTCAGACTCTGCCAGCCACCACCCTGACCATGAATGTGGGCAAGAGGTTCACTTGCTGAACCACGTGTGACTAGAGCTTTGGCCACTCCCTGGACCGCCTGTTAGAGAAGCACATATCTGTCATGCCTGCAGGCGACAGGACACTCAGTCATCACGCATGTGCGTGCTCCTCGTGTGTGTACACTCTCGTGTGCCTGGAGCTGTACAGCGGTCTCCCCTTGTCCACGGTTTCGGGGACCCACAGACAACCATGGTCCGAAAATACTAAGTTTTTCCAGCCACCGACGCCGTCTGCTCCTGACGTCCAGCCACTCACATCGTCATGGCTGGGTGATCCAGGATCACCTGAAGCAGGTGACCGTCCTTCTGATGTATCTTCAGAAGGTCAACAGCAGCCTAACACCGTGTCGCAATGTTGATTTCACTTCATCTTACCACGTAGGGATGTATCTAACCATCAGAAGAATGGTGGGTAGAATATAGGGAGGTATTTTGAAAGTGAGACCACATTTCCATAACGTTTATTATAGTATAATTGTTCTATGTTATTAATAGCTATTCATCACTTACTTTGCCTCATTTATAAATTAAGCTTTATTCTATGTATAGAGAGAAAACATAGTACATAGTATAGGGTTCGGCGCTATCGGTTTCAGCATCCCCTGAAACATATCCCTCATGGATAAGGGAGGCTAGGCTACTGTGTTCCAGAACATGCTTTGTCCAGAATGCTGCTAAGACATGTCCCCGTGCCCAGCATTGTGAAATACACTTAGAGTCAAGAATGTTCAGTTAAAATGTTCTGTACTGTTACTATTTCTCAATTGGGACGGATCATCGTGGCCCGGAGAAAGATAACATGGGGGTGGGGTGCACTACACTGTCATGGACGAGGGTGTGTGTGTGTGTGTGTGTGTGTGTGATTGAGAAATCAGTTGTTGGCTTTGGCAAGGAGTAAAGGGAAAGCCAGCAACAGCGCTGTGATTGAGAAAGAGCCCTGCTTGGGGCTGGGCGTGCCTGCTGTGGGCGCGCGCACACTGGACACCCAGGCCTCAGGCAGGGACTGCGCCGAGGCGGCTCACCTGGGCCCCGGGGTTCTGACACTGCGGGTTCTCACTGTGGGGTTTGGAAGGCGATGGCAGTGGGTGGCTTAGTGTAGTTGCCATGATCTGGGCCCTAAGGCCCAGACTGCGCGCTGCTGGCTCGAGTGTATAACGCTCCCTCCCCTCCCGCGTTTATCTAGAGTCAGTACCAGCAGCTCTCTCTCCAGCCTTTCACTATGGCCTTAACACATCAACATTCGGATTGCAATAGTATGTTGTCTCTAAGGGGCCTGTATGCCTCCTGCCGGCCCCACCAACCTGGCTCCTGCCCTTGGCTGCCGCTGTCCACCCTGTTCCTCGGGGCCAGGCCCCTGGGCAGGTGAGGGGCAGAGGTGGGTCGGGCAGAGGCAGGGAAAGGCCTGAGAACAGGAGTGTGGGTGGGAGGGAAGTCCGTGTTCTGGGCCAGATGGCCCACACACCAGCCAGCCGCTCAGAGCCCAGCGTGTGCGCTCGGACCCTCTTCCCGGTGCTCGGCTCCCACTAGCCCGCCTGCTTCCCTGCGTCGTGGTGGCTCCATTGCTGGCTCCTGATGGGGCCATAGGGCTGGTGGGAAAGGCCCTGGGTTCGGGAGTAGGGGCAGGGCACCGTGTCGGCTGGGCCTGCGGTCACTTGTCGACAGGGCCTCTGTCTCCTGGGGCGATCCCATGTGCCAAACCCACCCCTCAGAACTGCAGCGATGGTCCAACGCGGTAACGTGTAGGACAGTCCTTTGGAAAACCAAACATGACCATGACCACCTTTCATTCATAGACTATTCCCTGGTTTCTCGAAGCCTCTCTTTCTGTGAGGGCCCACCCTGCAGCAAGACTATCGGGAAGACCTAAAGCTGGGCTTAGGGGAAGGTGTGCATGTTGCGGAGCTGCTGTGGTTCTGAGAACATCTGGAAGCCCGGAGAGAGGAGCATCTCGTGTCCGTACAGCTCGTTACTGAGCGTGTTCACTGTCTGCGGCACCCCACCGGAGTGGGAGCTGGAGCGAGGCAGGGTGCAGGTCTGGCCCTCCTGGGCCCAGCCGTCTTGGGAGCCGGGCCCTGCACAGCTGGACCCTGCACAGCCGCAGCACAGAGAGGGCAGTGCTCTGGCCGAGGCCCAGGCTGTCTGACTGTCCTGGGCTTTTTCCTCCCACCCTCTGAAGTTGGATCCGATTTTGGGGTGGTTTTTTTTTGGTGTATGTGCCAGTGAGTGAGCAGTAGGGGGGTCCTGTTCTCCTACCCCTTGGACCAGGAACAGGGTCTTCCTTGCAGGGGTCCGTAGGGAAGAGGGGCCTTCAGGCATCTGTCTCCACCAGTGCCCAGCTCCGGCTCCCACTCCCGCACCTCCTTCCTCCTGTCACCTGCCCGAGGGAGGGCCTCCTGTCCAGCCAGAGCAGCGGCAACCTGTCTTCTCCTTTTCCCACAGGAAGCTGCACAGCGGGATGAAGACGTACGGGTGTGAGCTCTGCGGAAAGCGGTTCCTCGATAGTTTGCGACTGAGAATGCACTTACTGGCTCACTCAGGTAGGCACGGAGGCCTCCACTGCCCCTCCCCGAACCGCCAGCCCCCTCCTGCCCTCTTTCCTCCACTCAGAGAATGGACGTCCCCACTGCTCGCCGGGCCTGGCTCCACCTTGTCCCGTGGGTGCTCCCTCCAGGTTCATGGAGCAGAAAGTCCATCCTGATGCTGTGCTCCACCTTCCAAAGCAGAATGCGGCCTCATTAGCAAAACAGTGGTGGAATTAGGTTCTCGCTCTCTAATGAATCTGACTATTGGGTTCACATTATCCAGGAGCCTTTAATTAAATAGATATAGAAAGGTTGGAACACAGAGCTAGTTACGCGTGCTGTGTTTTGCAAGTTAATTTTACCCCGTTCCAGCGGGGTCGCCTAGGCGGCTGTCGGCATTTTTTCTCGTGTTTGGGCAAAGCTGCTCTGCCCCATTCGGTTTAAATAGGGGAGAAGCCTTGGCCCAGGGGGGCTGGGTGTTCATGGTGGGAGGCCCAGGGTCACTGCTTCAGTTGCAGAGCCCAGCCCCGCCCCGCCCGGTCCCCTGCCCGGCCTGTGCACGCTTCCTTCTCGTTCCCTTCCTTCAGCTTCGGCGGCACATTTTGGGGGAGAGGAAGGGACTACCTTCTCATTTGGTCTTGCTCTCCCCTCGTAACAGCGGTCAGCGTCTGCTGGCTCTCCCCCAGATTGCTTCAGCGGCTGACCCCCAGGCAGCTTAGCTTTTGTGAAATGAGCATGGGCTTTGGGTCGGGCAGATGAAGGTTCCATCTTGTCTGTGATATGTGCTAACTGTGGGACCTTGGGCAGATCTGCCTTCTGAACCCTGGTTTCCGCATCTGTAAATGCAGGTGTTGCTCGCTCGTGTACTTCCTTGTAGTATGAGGTGGTAGAATGTATGTTAAAGGCGTCTGTAGCTCGCTCCCTGGCATACAGTTGCTGTGTAACGAAGGGCGATTGCTTCTGCTTCCACCTTCCTCTTTGCCCAGCTGTGATGTCACCTGGGGCGTGCTCCTCTCACCGCTCTCCGGAGCTCCCTGTCGGTGGGGGGCTGCAGTCTGTCCTCACTCCATCTCCCGCCCAGACAGTCGTGTAGGTGCCGCGTGGTGGTTTTCAGTGCCTCGGCTCACTGCCTTGCCTGAAGGGCCCTCACCCCTTCTCCCTTCCTGTTCTTCCCTCTTCTACATCCAGGGGTCGGGCTACACTGAGGGGGCTGTCTGTCTTGGCATGTCCCCTCCTTCCGCCTGTCTTTGTGTGTCCCCTTCCTCCTTCCCGTCCGGCCTTTCCACCCCACACCTGGCTCCACTGCCCATCCTCGTGCCGCCTGCCTGTCCCATGTTGGCCGGCATCCCGAGTCCAGGTGTCCCCGCACTCAGCGTCTGCCCGGTGCTCATGGCTCCTTTGTTCTGTTTCTGTTACTTGCATCGTCTGTCTTCTTGCTTCCCTTCAGCTTTTTATGCTGCTTAGGGTTCAGTGTGGGTGGGTTTCATGAGCTGTCTGCCAGCAAGGCTGTTCGACCTCTGGGTTTGCTCTACCTGCAAACCCCTCACTCCCTCTGTGTGGAATCACCTTCCCCGTCTTCCCAGACCTTCAAGGTCCCTTCTGCAAGGCCGCCCTTGACTCCTCCCACCCCCAGCAGGATAGTTGCGCCTTCTTCTGGGCGCCATGTCTTTATCGGGAGCATCTCTGGGCACACTCGTTCTTCTTCATATCATGGCTATTTGTGGACTTGCCTTATCTCTTCTACTTGGGAGTCAGGGTTAGGAATTTGTGCTGACCATGTGACCTTGGGTAGGAGATGTAAGCTCTGTGAGCCACCATGTCCCCATCTGTAAGGTGAGCATTCGCCTGCCTCTGAGCGGCTGTGGCTCACATCAGATTCTTAGCGCCGTGCTTGGCACGTGACAGGTGCTCAGCGTAGGTAGCCTGCCCTTCCCTCTGCTTCTCTAACAGACGGTGAGCTGCTTAGAGACAGGTCTGTCCCACAGACCTTTCACCCCTTCGCTGGGATGTCTTGAAAATAAAATAGCAACGAGGGCTTAGGGAGGCAAGACCACTTGCTAAATTGTTAAACAGTAAAGGCAGAGACATGGCATTGCGGGGGCGGGTGTTGGATCTCTCCCTCAGATCCTGGTGGCACTAGTCGGGTCTCCCATCTTCTGGCTCCTGCTCTCCTTGCTGGATAACAGAACCGTGTGATGTGTAGAGGAGATGTGCAAGATGTTCTTGCTGCCTGTGTTGAAGGCTCCATGCAGGAAGCTGACAGCAAGAATGTTCCCTGAGGGCTGCAATGCAGACCCATTTTGCAGAAGATGCCCAAGGGCTGGGGCTCCAGAACCCTGGGGACTGTTTTTTTTAAAGGGGGCAGGTCATGGAGAAGTGAGCCTGGGGCCCGGGTGGGGCCGTGGTGTCCTGGCTTCCCCTGAATGTCATTGCTGTCTCTTGCACGGGCACATTCCTGTTGTCTCCTGCTCAGCAGAGCAGAACAGCATGCCCTCCCTCGCTCTCCCTTGCTCTGTGTGCTAGCTGTCCCCACCCCCTCTTGGCTAGCATGGGGGTGTTTGTTATTGTAGCTCTGGCACTGGGCCAGGCCTGGCTGGGAGCCAGCCTTGTGGGTACAGTGTGTACAGTGAGTGCTGAGCCAAGTTTGTCATCATACACGATTAATTTTTTTTTTTTCTAATCTGGAAGGGGTGGGGTGAAGGAGGAGGCAAGGAAAGTGTTTCTCCCATGCTTGAGCCGAGCCCACATTGAATCCGTGGAGCTGTTATTTGTGAAGGCTGATGGCTCTGGCTTGTTTATCCCTCAGCGTTTCCCCCCTCTCTCCTCTTCTCTCCATTTCCTTAGCCTCGGAAATCAGCCTGTGTGAGTCTGTCAGTGACTAGACTGCTAAATTTACATTCCTAAATCAGTTTTCATTGTGTGGAAATTGACAATTTGTTTAATTAGAAGTTTGCCCTGTAGGAGGCCCTTCCTAGAGACAATTCTTTCTTTCTCTTTCTCTCTCTTCCACTCTCCTCCTTTTTTTCTTTTCTGAGACCCTCAATGGTAGTAGTGAATGTTCAGTTTAATTGAAGCTTTGGTTTCGATTTGAGTGTGTTAACTAGTCAAGTGTTTGCAAGATGTACCTGATGATAACAATAAGTTTAAATGAACCAACATTAACCTCACTCATTAACTAATGAGACTGATCTGGCGAGGCCCCGAATTCTCAGAGGCAGTTTGGGGGCTCCAGGAGGGTTTGAGGACTGGAAAAGAGGCTGGGGCCAGAAGAGTGGCCACCCCCATGCTTTGCGGAGCTGGTCCTCCTACAGCATGAACCTTGGGTAGAGGATGGTGGCAGTGAGCGGGGAGGAGCCCAGCCCCTTGGGGTCCCAGGGTCACTCTGCCGTCCCCTTCCTCACACGTGGCTGCCCCACCGCTGCGGAAGCGGTAGGGGTGGATGCTGTTTCTTGGGCGCGCGCCTTATTCTCACTCGAGAGGTGATTCCTAGCTCTGGGGTGTCCATGCGAAGTCACAGCCTCGGTCGGTGACTGCAGTTGGTTCTGCGATTCGCTAGTGTATGGTTTCCGATTGGGTAATATCTCCCACAGCTTGGCTTACCATCCTGGTGGATTACAAGTGAGCACACCCAGAACTGCTGGCCCCTGTTTTTGACTTGGCTGTGCACTATTTAGAGGTTCGCATATTTCCGTGGCCTGCTTGCATTCTGGCGGTGCCCTTCCTTTTTGGAGCCAGCGGACATTTACTTAGCAAATGTACTTTACCCTGGAGAAGCCACAGCACCCCTGCCCTCAGGGAACAACTCCTGTCCAGTAGGGGAGATGTTTGACTAGAAGGCAGTGGGGAAAAAAGGTAGAGTGTGCAGAGAACCATGAAGAGTTCTGGGAGGCATTCAGAGGCAGAGGGTGGTAGACTTAATGGGTGGTGAGAAGGGGATTCTGAAAGGAGCTGGATGAGGAAGGCCAGCTCACCAGAGTGATATGCATGGAGTTGGGGAGTGTAGGCTGTGTGGTGGGGGTGGGAGAAGGAAGGGATAGAGCAAGGTTATGGAGGGCCTTGAGTAGCAAAACGATATGCATTTTACCTGCATCCCTGGAAAGCCACTGAAAGACGGAATAAGAGATTAAGCCCTCCCGGCTCTGGAATAGGAAGGCCTGTGGGCTTTTTGATGTAGACTAGGCAGGAGTGTAGGGTTTATAAGAGTCCATGGAGAGATGGCATGACTGGCAGGCTATCTGGGGGCATGGCTGGAGTATAGAGAGGCCGGTGCCTCTTGCACTGGTTAGGGGCACACACCTGCCTGAGAGCCCAGTGCTGTTAGGGGCCTGTCCCCTGTGCTTACTCCTTGCTCCTCTCTGGGCACTGTAAGCAGCCATGGCTTTTGAGAAATCTCCCTCAATATACCCCCTTCCCATAGCCAGAGCCACTGGGACAGAAGAATATGGAGCCGGGTGATGATTGTCTGATGCCAGCTGCAGTGTGGGTGGCCAGGGCACATCACCTGGGGCCTGGGTCATCCATCTGGCAGGAAGGGGCAGGAAGGGGCAGGAGAGGTTGGGGCCAAAAACCAGATTGCTTTCCCCTGTTCTGATTGGAAAGAAAATTACAAAATGTTAAAGATGTGTGGATCGTACTTGTTCCCTTTTTTCTTGTTTTTGGAACACGTAAATTTGGGGTTCAGGGTTCTTCTTCCCAAAGTCAAGGAAGGTGGGGGGAGCAGAATAGCTGGAGGAGCCCCTGGGACTGTGAGGGTGAGGAAATGAGCTGGGAGAAGCCCCTCAGGGTGCACAGGAGGCTCTCAGGACCGGCAGCTTCCTTCTCTCATTTACCTCTCTCCTTCCAGATGAGGTGTCTCCTGAGAGCAAGAGATTGGGGGCTGTCCAGGCAGGCCGAGCCCATGGTCACTTCATGCCCTCTGTCCAGTGAATGTCACTGCTCCCTTCTGGTTAGCTTTCCCCTCCGGACAGAGCCAGGAGGAACCTTCCTCAGGCCCTTTAACTACCCCCCCCCACACG